CATGCTATAGTTGGAGGCTATTACACCTGTAATAGAACTGTAAGCATTACTGGCTTTTTTTTTTTTAATAGTAACTTCGATTTGCAGAAGCTACAGATAAAATTTTACATGAAAGGAAGTTTAGGAAGCCTTCACTATAGAAGTCATCAGCAACTGAAGTTTCCAAGCTGACCACCTATACTAGCTTTAAAAAGCTGTTGATGTGAACTGTACAATTTATAAAACCCAAATCAGCAACAGGAAAAGAACAGTTAGCAAATATTTTACTCAAATACCAGCACTGCAGCTCTCATACTGCTTTGCCAGAGATTTTAGAACAAATAAGGAAAAATTAAAGTGATAGGCAAAAAACTGGTGGATAAAAATGTAGCCTTCTGAAGTTAATTAAAAAAGCCAAAGGGAATATTATAGTAGTGTAGAAACCACTGATGAAAAGAAAGCTCTCCCATTTAAATAAATGGGAGGAGAAGGTACACAGACTATTCAGGCTGGAATAAAAGAGCTACACATTGCCAGAAGCAGAGATGTTTGACTTATGATAAAGAACAAAGTATAACTGTGCAAAGTTTAGTAAATACACAGAATTAGTTCTTTAGAAAGAAAATTGGGACAAACTATGAAGCTTTTAATGCAACTAGCTTAAAAGCAATTAATTGAAATTCAGGGTAGTCAGGCACAAGCCATGATAAAAAGAACAAGAGTCATGCTTAATGCAACAACTTCTGAAGAATTCATAGAAGAATACCTTAATCTACATGTTACATTTCAGTACATTTTCCAGTTTTTGATGCACATAATCTCCTTCTGTCTTTTTTATATTAAGCAATTACACTTCATCATAAATATTAACCCAACTAGCACTGTCCCATCCCTTGAAGCATTAATTACAAAACAGTGAAGGTATTTTGCAATGTGCTCTGAATTTCAAAATGTGGGGGCTATTCTGGATCAAGAGAGCAACAGCATCCAAAATTTCTCTCTGTAAAATAGCCTTTTAAAAGATTTTTTTACCAGGTTAGAATGAGCTCAGTGTTTATAATACGAGCAGTGCCTAGATATACACCATTAGACTTTTCCTTATATGTAACAGCTGGAAAGTTCATTTATTTCCTTTGAAAAAGTCAATGTGCAATAGGCAAAATTGGATGGGACTAAAAATTTAAAACCTTAAGTGAAATTACTGCTGGGAGTTTTCCCCAAGTTTTCTAATTTGATTAAGCATAGGCAGATTTTGCAGACTGCAAAGGGCTTGTCTTCAATACAAATGTTCCCTGCCTTCCAGCTTTCAAGTACCAGGCTTCAACATATATGCAAATAAACACAACTCAGCATGGACAGTGAGTAGAACTCCTTAAGTCTTTATGAAAGGCTGATATTTTTGAGCCTGAAACAGTGCAGTCTTCCATCTCACACAAAATCTTCAGGACAAGCAACTAGCTGAGGTATAACAGAAGTCTTTAGTACCCAAAAACTTTTTTTGTCTGCAGGTGTAGTGAAAGTTCGCCATGAAAGTTTTGCTTGAAGGGTGACAACGTTTAAGTCAAGTACTCTAAGAGAATCTTATACAAAACCCCAACGAACCATGTCACAGGACGCATTCCCAAACATTTTGAACACTGGACATAGGTCCTTATCTGCCAGTTTAATTCAACATTTATTTCATTACCTATTTTAACCATCAGGTGGCTCTTACAACATTCCCAAATTACTCAATAATAACCAGATGAAAGTTCAGGCTTTCTGATTATTTGCATGCCCTGTTAAGTTTTCTGTGCAAGAGAAGTATTAGTGGACTTTTTCACCAGCATTTTTTGCATCCTTCAATGCAGCAATGAATGAACTACCAAAGGAAAAAAAAAAAAAAAAGGTCAGAAGTCTGATTATGGAACAAAAGCAAAGTATTTACCCAGTAAATTTATCTTTGCTAATATGTGAATGCCACTAATTTTTAAATGTTTTAAGGTAAACATATTTTGCAAATTCCTGGTTTGTAATTTTGCCTTTTAGCTCTTAAGTGTCATTTGCCAGGCATTTATTATGTTCTTTCCTACCCATACTGTTAAGCAAAAATATATCTGTTTAAATACAAGTTTACTTAACATTGCTTCCTACCTTCCCTTGGAGAATAACATAGCTAACACAATCTTATTACAAAACCACCTATATCATTACAAATTGCACTGGAAGATAACATGTCTCACTGAAAGGAAAAAGATAAGTACTTTCTGCCTTCCTGTATTTTCTACAGCAAAAGCAAAAAGCCTCTATTGCAAATAATCCCTTTAGAGGATTAGTATGTCTGTGACAAACCTGAGTCAGTTGGAACAAAATTATATTTCAATGTATGTAGCAAAAGTAACTGGCTGGTTTAGTTACTGGATTAAATTCAACCTTAAAAAAAATCTCCAGCTTATAGAAAGGCAAAACATATGAGACTTGAATTTTGACTGCTAGACACCAAAATAGAGTTCCTTCATGAGATTAATAGGTCCACCATAAACAAAATTCCAGCTGTCCTTGACAGGAATTTAAATATTGCTCATCATTCCAGAGAAAAGGTAGACCCCACCTGTAAAATCCAGCAGGCATCAATCCAGTATGAAGAGTAGCATCAACGTATTTTCCTCCCTGGATTTTCTGAAGCCTAAATGTATTCACACAGGATCACTTCACACCAGGTACACAACCCAGACTAGTATAGTTCAGACACCAATAAAGTTGACAATAACTTTTAAAAAAATCACAGGTATCAGATTCCTTGAAGGGTTCCTATCTTCAGACATTATTCAAAGTATCTTAGCTTCTTTACTTTCCAGACATATTAAGGACAATGTGATTACAATGATATTCACCATTGATTTATGCAGGGAAAAATTATGCTTGGCAAACTGATAGCAATCTACAGTGAAATGACTGGTTCAGTGGATGAGAGAAGAACAGCAGTTGCTCTCTTGACATGACAAAATCTTTCCTATAAAATCCTCATACCAACAAAATGCAGATTAGGCAAGTGGTCAGTGATATGGACTAAAAAACTTGCTGAACTTCCAGGCACAAAGAATTATGATCAGCATCATAATCACAGCAGGTCACCAGTGGTGCACCCTATGGTCAGTCTTCACTAAAGGTCTGGAAAATGCAACAGAGTGAACCTTCAGCTTCTTTGCTGGCAATACAAGTCTGGGGAAGTGACCAATATTACTAATTGGTTTTGCTGCCATTCAGAGGGATCTCAACAGACTAGAGAAGCCTAAGGCCAAGAAACATAAGGTCCTGTACCTGGGGAGGACTATCTTCATGCACTAGTACACACTAGGGACTTTGCATCAACAGCTGGAAAGCAGCTCTGCAGGGAACCACCTTGTGATACTAGTGGAGAACATGCTGAACAGAAACTAGCAAGTCACCTTTGCAAACAAGATCAACAGCATTCTTGACTGCATGAGAAGGAGCCCAGTCAATAGGATAAGGGAGATGATCTTTCCCTTCAGCACTGGTCAGGCAGCATCTGGAGTACTGGGCCCAGTTCTGGGCTCCTCAGTTTCATAGAAGTTAGGAATTTACTAGAATAAGTCCTGCAAAGTGCCAGGAAAATGATTAAGGAACTGAAGCATTTTTCATGTGAGAGTGAGCTGGGACTGATCAGCCTAGAGATAAGTTTCATGTTGGGGATCTTATGTATATATATGTCCCTAATGGGGTAAAATTAAACACTGATATTCTTCTCCATGGTATCAAGGGATAGGGCAAGAGACAAAGGGCTCAAACTGAAACACAGGAAATTCAATTTAAATGTAAGATGAAAACTGCACACTTCATTCTAAAAATGACCAGAAACGGCACAGGCTTCCTAGAAATATCTTGGAGTCACTAGTCTTGAAGATATTTGAAACCCATCTTAACACAGTCCTGGGGAAGTTGCATTAGCTGCATGTACTTTGAGAGCAGGAAGGTTGGACCAGAAGATCTCCAGATATCCCTTCCAACGTTAGCCTTTCTATAATTGTATCCTATATTTACCTTCCAGACCAGAGAAACCCCCCATCAAAGCAAACAAACCCCAACAAACCAACTAAAACAAAAAAACCCAACCAAACAGCACTTTGGAAATAAAAACTCCAGACCCTGAAGATTCCAGAATGCTTTTCCTACAAAAATTTTGGACCTCACTCTACAACAGACTAAGCTACACAATAGTGACTTTGGTATCCCATTCAATAGGAAGAATGGAAGGTAAAGGCAAAGGAAAAATGGCAGTATTCATGGACATATGGTGCTTCTGGGTAGAGACAATAATGCCTATAACATTATATGACATTTTGTACTTCTGTTTTGCTGTTAAGTATCTCTGGGGGCCAGCTACTAATGTGATCCATTGTTTTCTTATAGCTGTAGAAAATACAAACCAATGAACTCATGATACATTATTTCCACTCTTACAACAAAGTTATTATGACTTAGATTCTTTTCAGGACACACTTTCATGGGTTTTTAATTCAGATCTATGAATTTCAGAATTTCATTGCATGAAAATAAAAATTAACACATGAAAACGCTGTAAAGTTACTTAAAAGTACTACAGAATTGTTTCAACACTGTTGAACTAGAATATGAAGAAGTCCTACTAGCATGTCATAGCTGTTTTATGCATCTGTCCTCACTTGATTTAGTATTCAAACGCAGAAAGGGCAAATGCGTCAACCTGTTAATCTGATTAATCAGCCACTCTTCCCAGTGAAACTCCTTGCCTAGATGGCAATTTTTTTTATTAGCCTTAGTGATTCATTCTTCCTCCCAGACTCTAAAAAGCTCTTTGTACCAAATTCACACATCAACACTTGGTGAACAGGCCTAGGCTGGTGTAACTGCTTCCTTGACACATTTTTATTTAGGACTTACTTTCATTAACCAAATCACTACTCCTAAGTGAGGAAAAATGTTTTTTTTTAATTCATTAAGGAAAACAATTCCCCAAGTATACTGAAAATAAAACCACTTACCACATGCTTCACAAAAAGCTAACTGCTCAGAAGAAAAATCCAGGCAATTAGCAGTGGTAGTCATAACGGGCATTTATGCCCCTCAGCAGGGGTTTTCCTTCTGTAAAGCCTGTTCCTTCTACTCACACTGATAGCTGTGATCTACCTGGTAAAGATGTATGCATTTGCAATTTAGTCATCTTGCTTGAAATGAACTGTTTCCATAAGCTACTTGAGAGGATTATTTTCTTCCTTCCAGTTTCCACACAAGATGTAACAATACACAGCTGGGTCAACATAGCCAGGAACATACTTTGACCCACTGATTATAAGAACAGCTGCCAAGTTCAGTGCATACGAAGGAAACAAACAATTTAACTGGAGCGGGCAAATTGTCCTTTCAGCTTCATACTTTAGTATAAACTAAATGTGCCCTGAAACCACAACTACTGAAAGCTCCTACTATTTCTATGTGGCAAAACTTCTCTAACTGCAAATATTTAGTTTTTAATAATAATAATTAAAAAAAAAATCCATGATTTAATAAAAGCATTTTTAAAGTTTCTACAAAAAGCCTTGAAATGTTTCATCAATGCAAGATTTTTAGTCCCAGAAGTTTACCTACACCTATAAATATAACGATCACTTTAGGGGTGGTGGTGGAGACTAAAAAACACACAAACAAAAATAATCAAGTGGACCAGCTGCACTAGCAATTGCTATGGTTTAGACTATTTGGACTGTCTTTTACATGCTAGGAACTCTGAACTATTAGGTAGCTTTCATAATCTAGAATGTAATCATATATTAAATTTCTATTAAAGGATAACATTAACTCATAGGATAATGCAGGCAGAAATACCTTCTTATAGTGAGACTTCATTTCACCTACAAAGTCATCAAGACCTCATGACTGACTAACTTCATTTCTTAGAGCAACACAGGGAAAAAATAAGTCTTTTGTCACTATACAACTGAGTTCTAATTTCAGATGCATCCTGCTGTACTGAAATTAAGCTCATTTGAATAAGTAGTGAAAATTACAGCAGCAAGTCCAATGATGTTTTTTTCAAAGAAGCAAATGGAGTTACAGTAAAAGTCTGACAGGATTATCAACATGAAATTAAATTCTGGAGAAATTTCAAAAAGTTAGGAGGCCTTACAGGAGATGTACATTACAGAGAATGCAAGAATAATACTTGTTTTGAGTTCACTAGAGGGGAACTAATTCACAAAGATGGGCAACTACCAGTTGTCTGACAGTTATCCAACTCAGGATTAAGTAGGAGAGCTTTTCAGAGTAAGTACTACATAAAGCAGCATGCAAACTCCTAGAAATACTTGTATCAGTATGTAAATGCAACACACTGGCACCCAAGAATCCCCTCAAATAACTGTTTATAAACAGGTTGTATGAAGCTTGAGTGGCTGAAAGTTTTCCAGCATAGTTTTGAACTCAAAAAAATAGATGCCTCAATATTAGACAATAATATTTTGATGAGCTTTCTCAGATCAAAGGGAGATCCCAGCAGAAATCTGCCTAGGTCCTTACCAGCAGCTCCAGCCAGCATGAGAGCTTACACTCCTCCCATCTGTTGGTTAAGAAGCTCCAGATGAACATTTAGACTCCTAACCACATACAGCTGAGAACCTGGTAACTTGGGAGCTGACTTTTTGGGGTTTCTAGCTTTTCATTATTTAGAGTTTCTTATTATTCTGTTTTACAAGTCCCAATACAGTTCATTGCTCTGTCCATGAGAGGGGGAAAGAAGAGTTTTGATTCCTCTTGCTCTCCTGACTATACTTTAAGATAAAATATTAACAAAATATAATATTGTCCTTTTTGAAGACAATATGAATTTGGCCCTTTGTTTTGAACTGGAAATACTTAAAATTCTTTAGTCAAATGTAAACAGAGTCTCAATCAAGATTAGGACAATCAGATAACAAGAAGAGAATATACATTTCAGGAAAGGTAAGTCACATTAAAGGTAGGATAGACTTTTCTCCTAAGGGTACACTGATGCTGGCAGGAAAAGCTGCAAATGAATTAGCAATAGCAGAACCAATTGAGGTTGCTTTATGAGAGTTGTGCAAAAATACAGCAGAAAAACCTTCAGACAATACCAAGATTAGGTCAAAGAAAACCAACAGACATAAAAGACATGCTCCTTGTTAAGCAAGACTGGGTCATAAACATTAAGTTCATTCAAGGATAACCAAGGTCACAGAGGACAGACAGCAAAGATGGAATGTAGTAATGAAAGCCAACAGAAAACATGCAATTGAGGTTGGTGATAAATTTGAAGATTCATGAGAAGGACACCTCTTTCTCATTAATTAGCAGCTAGTTAATACTTAAAATAATGTACTATGGATGATACATTCTATTTTCTGAATATTTGTGGATCCCAGTTTGCTCTGTGCTATATAAGATACACAAGAAGTCATAAATTTGTTGAAAAAGTGCAAGTTATACAAGAAAATAAAACCCCTTCCCTCCCTTTCTTAACAGGTCCATGTTCTGAACTCTCCCAGACTTTTGTCTTCTGGAACGTGTTCACACTATAAAAAAGGGGAACATTTCAACTAATTAGGAAACATCTGAACTGGGGAACTGACTTTCAACCATTTGTCTGCCACTTTTTGTTAAAATAACAAGTTGCTCAATTTTCACTAGGAATTTACCTTATATTGAAATCACTGCATGAAAATTAACTGAGAGGGGAAAGGCCATGCAGGTGGCTGCCAATGCCTCTGTCTGTTTTCACAAATTCTGCTGTATTTTCATTACCAGGAACCAACATAATCCTGATCGAGAATTAAGTTACTAATGATACTAAAAGTCACTCTATCTTTAATAGATGCATTTTCCAAGTAGTGCATTTTAGGGATCATCATCACAATGCAGTAACCCTTCTGGAGAGAACATTTGGGAGAAATAAGTCTCATGACACCACTGATTCCAGCCTTCTTTAAAGCCTATTCCCTCTAATTAGTACTACAGAATTCTGAATTTTATCCCAATAGATTAATCTTTTGCATGCAATTATGAAGGTACAAACGCCCCTGAAACAGAAAAGTAGAAAAAGTAGAAAGAGTACTTTTATGTAGACTATGTAACTTATAAATCACAGCTTTCTTGGTCACACCCCTGATGCTGAAATTCTGTAAAGATTTACAGTGTTGTAACATATTAACATATGCTCTATTCCTTTGTGTTCTGAAGATAAACAACTGTAGAGATGCCACTTCCATTTTGAACATTAAAGCTTATGTAAGACTTAATTATAGAGGAAATTAAGGTGTACTGTATCTTGGCACTGGGATGTGATACTGCACTTAAATCAATATAGTGATGTTATTCATAAACTAGTAGGCATATGGCTGCTGCAATGTGCAGCTAATTAATATTTCTGGAACTAAGGTAAAAAACCTACAAAATAGACATGCCAGGTGTATTGCATATCAGATTACCAAATAGTCAACACTGCTAGCACGTGGCTCACACCAGTAAATCTCATGGTAAATACAGCTTTCCTCCAATATCCTAATTTTAATAAACAGTTCCTAACCTAAGCACCATTATGACTAGAGTCAAAGTTCTAGATAGTCATGTTGATACAGTGAGAGTGAAATGCAATGCCTTAATGTCTCTCTCCAAAAACAATTCTAAAGATTTCCCCTTGCAGAGAAATCGGACTCATCAAAACAAATCCACTACATGTAAATACAGGTCTGCTTGAGACAGCAGACTCAGGTTAGTGTTATATCCACCCCTTTGTTTTGACACACATGTAAAATTACCTCTTCAATTAAATAATTTTAAGGAATCCATACAAGTATTATGTGAAACTTCATTTATATTGCTTTGTTTGCATTAAAAAATGGTTCACTTCCTAAAGTATTTGGAAGTTGTTCATGGTCCAGATTTAAAGACCATTTAAAGACAGCTGCAATGACTACTTCTAGTAGTCATCAGCAAGTAAAATTTCAAATTATTTCTCACTCTAAGTAGGAGGAAAATAGTTGGGTTTGATCTTGGATCTTAAAGAAAAGCAGCGGAAAATTCAAAATTTGTATCTCCAAAGTTACTCCTTCCAAATATTCACCTGTCTTCCAACAGATACTCCTATTTGAGAAAGGGATACTTGATATTCTTAACCCTCTGATATACATCCTAAGCAGCAGATTAAGCTAAAACTGTCTTGAAGCCTCCCATGGTTCTGGAATAGATGGGTGTATCTACCATCCTCTGCAGTTTCCCTGTGTTGAAGAAATAAATTCATAACTTAAGCACACTGATTCATTTTGAAGACTACCAAGATCTTTCAAACAGTAGCAAAGACAAGTACCCCAGTTGGGCAGGCTATCTACAGGCCTCTGGAGGTTCTCACCTTTTAAGAAGTGCATCAGGCAGGCAGGACTTTCTCAAGAGTATAAACATTTAATTTCCAGGAAGGTAGCTAAATTCTGCAGGCTTGAAGAGTGGCTAGAGCAGTAGGTGTGGGGAGTCCTTCACAGGCTTTTTGTCACATGTGAAGTACCTTCTCTTCCCGTCCAATTCACACCACTCCTGTATAATAATGATGGCATCAGCAGTTGGCATCAGTCCATGCATTACAGAGCAACTTCAGTTACTCAGATGGCATGTATTGTACTCTGCATAAACTACATTTCAGCATGCTGTTCAGTCTGAACCAAACCTTGAAACTCTTCCTGCTTTTCAGGCAGACCTCTGTTGAAAGCAACTCCACATTTGGGTTCCTGACACTATTTCACATTAAATAGGTTGATTAAAAAATATGCACACACATCTATTCTCTATACCTTAGGAATATGATACTCAAATGAAGTGATATTGATATAACTATTTCTGCAGTACTTCTGTCTTTAATCATGGAGTGACACACAGAACTAACTCCTGGCTCACCTGTCTGGATGCATGTACTAAATGCTGAAGTTATTGTATATAACTAAGCTTTCTGTGTACAACTTCAGCAGGCCATTATTAGATACTAGGTATTTATAAATCTTTACAGACCACAGAGCTATCACACACCATGTAATGTTATAACCCGAATCCTGAAAAGCAGTTATTTCCATGGGCTAAAAATATCTCACTCGTCCAGCTCTATGAATACCCTAGCAGTTAGGGCAAGCTATTTAATTGTTTGAATTAGGCTCTATGACTTACATATGTAACTGATATGGTGTTCCTAACAAGTACCCCCCACGGAGACTGCGCTTAAAGAGATATTACTACACTACAACTGTTCACCTATGGGACATCTTTTTGAAAAATTCTGTGGGCTCTAATAACAACTGTATTTCTACACATAGTTACACATGAAAAAGTCATTAAAACTGAAATACAATATCATTAAAGATCCCTTTCAGAAAGGGATTGTTATTGTGAGAAAATTTCTTTCCAACATTTCAATTATCTTCTTTGCGGAACAATTTACTGCATAAGAGACAAAGGTAAAAATGTAAGTGTATTGGGTTTAGATAGCAAGGCTTTAGTACCCAAGGGACTGCAGGGTTGGTTTCTGTAAGCAAACACCAGAGACTGCCCCCATGTCAGACAGAGTCAGTTACAACCAGCTCCAAAATGACACACCACTGGCCAAAGTGAAGCCCTTCAGCAACGTTGGTGGCACCTCTGTGATAACGTATTTAAGAAAAGATAAAAATTGCTGTGCAGCAGCTGTGATATAGGAATGAGAAACCGCGAGAGAAGCAATCCTGCAGACACCGAGGTCTGTGAAACAGGTTGGGGATGAGATGCTCCATGCATGGTGAACAGAAGCTTCTTTGCAGCCCATGGAGAACCTACATTCTACCTCAGGAGGCAAAAGAGTCAGAAGTGCAGTTGAGCCTGGAAACATAGGGGAAGATGTTTTTAGTTTTCTATTCATTTATCACTATCTTACTCTGTTATTAACTGGCAAGAAATTAATTTTCCCTGTCAATTCTGTTTTGTCCATGACCCTAACTGGTGAACTCCCTATTGTTATCTCAACCCACGAGCTCTTCATCTTACTTTCTCTTCCACCTTGTTGAGAAGGAGTGAGAGAGAGCAGCTTAGTGGGCATTTGACAGCCAGATAAGTTTAACCCACTACAACAAAGCACAGTCCTTCAAAAAAGTAATCTCAGAAAGATATGATAACAGACCTAGGGTTTTCCTGCTTCTATTTTGTCAGGATACACCCATCAATGTGTCTGGACAACCAAAAAGGGATACACAGCTGCATGGATGTCATGTTTATGGAAGGACAGTTTGATTATGTTTGCACACTGAATGTGATCACAGCTGTGTTCTACCAAAGATATATCAAACTCTAGAAGCCTTCTTGGTCTCATTCTAAAAACAGAAGTTGCAAATGAGAAAATTTGGAACTCAGTTAAGTTGGGTAACACATCCTTTCCCTTTGGGGACATATTTAATATCCTCATGTGACAAATAACTTTTATAAAGATAATTTAAAAAGAATTGGTTTATGCAAACCAAAATATAGAAATGTTTCATACAGGTTTTAGTTTCATGTTCTACATGATCACTCAATACCGTTAATTTTAAAAATCAGGTAAGCTTAGTATTCAGCTTAAGGTGGTTTTCTCTTCAGAAAGTGTCAGTATCTCAGAAAGTATTTCATCCCACAAATAGTTTTGACTTTGACAAGTCAATAAACAGTTCACATCTCAAAGAAACTTGCTAATTAACATAAGAAACTGGCCCATCAGTATTTTAATGGTTTTTGCTTATCTTTCAGGTAAAAGCTAAGCACTTGAGATGACACAACATGGTTAAGGGACAGGAGTCTAATTTGGTACAGGTTTCAGTAGCATCCAAACTATCCGATCATAAAAGTCTCAGCACCAAATAGTAGCTTATGACTGTCTGTGCATCCAGGTTTTGACTCGAATCATAGAATTATTAAAGCTGGAAAAGACCTCCAAGATCACTGAGTCCAAATCTTTGACCAAACACCACCTTGTCAACTAAACCATAGCACTGTCACATCCAGTTATTTCTTCAGCACTTCCAGGGATTGTTACTCCACCACATCCCTGAGCAGCCCATTCCAAAGCTTAACTACCCTTTTAGAGAAGAAATTCTTCCTGATGTCCCATCTGAACCTTCCAAGGCACAGCTTGAGGCCATATCATCTTGTCCTGTCACTAGTTCCTGGGAAAAAAGGCCAGCCCCCACCTGGCTACAACCTCCTTTCAGATACTTGTAGACAGCAATAACTTCAGCCTTCTTTTCTCCAGGCCAAACAACCTCAGCTCCCTCAGCTGTTTCTCATATGATTTACTCTCTAGACCCTTCACCACATCCATGCCCTTCTCTGGACATGCTCCAGCACCTCAATGTCTTTCTCATACTGAGGGGCCCAGAAGAGGAAACAGTACTTGAGGTATGGCCTCACCATTGCCTAATACAGGGGGACAATCACTCCCTTGGTCCTGCTGGCCACACTGTTTCTGAAACAAGCCAGGATGCCATTGGCCTTACTGTAAGTGAATTATTCTCAGTATTGAAATAATTTCATATCCTGTCTTAAGAATGTTGCATTAAAAACAGCCATGCAGAAAAATATAATTAGAAATAATCAAAGCATGATTATCTGGTTCTCAGAGGTCACATATTGAGAGAATGGATGCAGTCTAATGATGCAAGATTAATTGGTCTAGCAAAGATAGAGCATATATTCTATTTAAATGCTTCTAGTTCTGTGTTAGCTTGTGTGAAGCTAGGTCAGTTCTTTGAGTGCATCTGAATGCTAACTGAAGGCTAGAAGATGCTTATTACCATCAGTCTCAAAAGCATGTGTATTTTCACTCAATCATCTCAATTCAATAAATCTTTATTCATGTTTTTATACCTTCTGGGTAAACCATTACACTGCATATGAAAGAGTTTCTCTCAATCTATCCCTTTTCACAAAATATGAATAGACCAAACAAAATCCTGAATGCAAGCCAGTTCCCACAATTTCTGATGTTAGCTTAGGTCTTTTCAGGGGAATAGTTTAATAGAAGCTCAAGAATATCAGTTTACTTCAGCACACAGTATCTATCTGTGTATTCATTAGCACTCCACCTTTGCAACATGTTACATAGCTACTTAAAGTAATCTGAATCCACCAATTCACAATGAATTGAAAGCAGCAAATTCTTCTCAGCCTCAGCTTTCCAATGTGACCTTTCTCATTCAGTAGGAGATTGCAAAATATTATTTCTGTCCAGACTTTTAAGGTGAAACACCCAGAAAATTACAGCTACCCTAATTTAAAATGGCAAGTGTAAAATTTTGGGGAAGTTCAAAAACATCTGAGAGCACCAGCTGTGTTAAAGCCTAAGTTCTAAAAATAATACTTTCTTTTTTAAAAAAGCAAAACTGAGCTACTGAGAACTGTTTAAAATACTAAGAATTACAATCCAGTAGGTACATATTAATGGACATTTTTTGCATTCCTAATCACTGATACCCTTAAGCTTCAGCCATTTGTACATTTCTACATTTCTGGTCAATAATCCTAATCAGTTTTACATGACATTTAGGACATGTTTACATCACTTCAACTTACTGACATTTAGGATATGTTTACACCACTTCAACTTACTGGTAGGATGCCAAGGTTATTTATTTTAGATAAAACCATTTCTATTAGGCTTTCAAAAAAAGTTCCCCTCTCCTTCCCGTTTAGTTCTCACAATTGTAAACCAGCTTTTTTTGGGGCATACCTTAGTTCATGGGTCAATATACCCTCCTATCATCCTAAAAAACACTTAACTAACAGTTCTAGGCACCAACTCAATGTGTTGTTTAATTTTAGATCTACTTCTAAGGACCCAAAGTCTCCCTTATACACTGTCAAGTAAGACCAAGCACTAAATGTAATAGCATTAGAGTAAATACCAGGGTGTTTAGTTCTAGTAACAAAGTCTATTGTGAAATTTTAATCCTACATGGTTTTAGGTCCAAAATTCTATGGTAGACACAGAACTGAGCTCTGTGTTCTTCTACATTCTGTCACGTTATTCTAATCAAAGCTATCTAATGTGATCTTGCAGGATCCTTGTGTAGGTAGTTTAGGGTAACAGGCTAACATGCATGTCTTACTCCATCAGAAAAACTGAGATTTACATCCACATGAATTTGTTTTTAATGATATACAAAGTTTTTATAAACAAAACTTCCAAACTCTAGACAAATCATTGTACAACTACATAGTGCATTCTATTTCCTTTATT